CTCGCTTCCGAACATACACACAGACAGCCTCTCGACAATATGCGTTTTTGCTGGCTCTAGCAACGATACTGCACAGTAAAAACGCATAAAAATGAACAATTTCAGTTTAACAGTCATTCTTTGAAAGTGACCTGGCCGTTCAGTAAGCATTTCCCTTGCCAAAACTTTTAGGTGTCCGTACATGTGAACCACTTGCACCCGGGAGCTGAATTTGAAATCTTTAAATTGTACTTAGGCAGGCAACGATAGACAGGCAACTTGCATGCTGCGCGGAGCCACGTTCTCGAATGTTTGGTTTAGCGTCGATGTGGAAAGCACAAGAAAGTTGTCGGCTACGTAGGCGGAGATAGCGACTATGAATTAATTTCTGTTCCTGATATTCCAAGTAAGTATGGTAGGTTTTAAAGTATCGAACTGGGCCGGAGAATAATATCTTTGAACAAGTATTGCCACTAGTAAAACGGCATCAAATTTCGGTACACTGACGAGTAGGTTTGCAAAATGGTTTTTTTAAGTCACTTGCTGTTCAGAATCGTATTATTGTATATATTCGGAAATCGAAGGGAACTGGAGAAAATTTTAGTAAACGGAAAGTGGTCGGAGTAGTGCAGACATTAATTATGCTCTAATTATTGTGTAATTCAAGTTGATTAGAGAAATATTTTGTGATTAAAATGATAACAACACGATAGAGAGAGAGCACGAAAGATTCCGAAGACGCATCGGAAACGGGGGATGGGGATGGGGAGTGGAAGAGGTGGGGAGCTGGAGAGGGCTGGGAGTAGGTAGTGGCAGTGCTACATGGATACTAGAATTGAAGGTGATTTGAAGGATACAGTATTTTGTGAATGATAGGGGTGGCGGTTGTTTGACAAGGATGTATTATTTGTTGTCATCTAGCGTTTCCTTCCTCTGATTATCTGTCACGATGCATTTTCGTTTACCGCAAACTTATTGTAAAGCTTACGACTATTCCATTTCATCTAAACTTATCACACCACTCCTTATGATGCGCTTTTGCATCTTTATGCAGATACCAGAGCGCATATTGGTTCGAGAAGCTGTGCGTGTATGTGCATGTTTGTGTGTGTTTATGTGTGTGTGTGTGCGTGTGTGTGCGTTCGGATTTTCGTTACCTACACTTAGCAAGGGCAGAAGTTAGGAAGATGGAATTGCACAAGGACGTTTCTGGGGCAAGTGCTGTACATAAACAGCTTAAAATCGACGTTCAGGTGCGCCTGAGTGACGCATGATTAAATGCTGAGGAGATTCTTGATAAAAATTTTGTTGTATTGCCTTGTCCTAAAAGTTTCAAACTGGAAGAAATGTACTCGTTTTCTATTGTCATCTGAGAGTAAAGGCGGGGGAATATGAGCAGCTAACAGAAGCAAGTACTGGCTGTAAGGAGGAAAGCGATGAATTAGAGAATGCTTCAGATATTCCTTCGCTAGCACATAGGTAATTAAATGCTTTACCATCTGTATGTGAAATATTTCCACAGGTGTGAAAAAAAAGTAAAATCGATGGCTGGGGCATCTCTGCATCAAACCGATTGTTGTCACGTTAGTTTTCTAATAGCTCTTCATCATATGAAAAGCAAGTTAGTGATGTAACTTTCACAAAAGATGGGCATTTTCTTTGATTCAAATGGTGACCCCTGGTCAAAACAGTATATCGTGACAAAACATTATTCCTCGCCTCCTCTTGCTTACTTTTCACTGTACCCCACATATTGTTTGTTCTGTTGTTATTTCATTTGCCGGTTTTGGACCCACTTTTTGTTTTTAAGCAGAAATCTTCCAGCAAATTTTCCGGCGCCTTTAGTTGAATTTTGCACCTGTTTAGCTAAATTTAGTACCCCTCCCCCACGTGCCGAACTGTGCGCTATTGTAGCTCAATTTTTTGCATAGGCGATGACAGTCATGGCAGTTCTCCTCTTTGCTCACCGTACGCTCATTTGAAGCGAACGTTATTTTGTGGGAGAGTGGGGGAGAACAGTTTTTATGCGTTTTGCCTATATGCAGATGCAAAAACGCATATTGGCAAGACGCTGCCTTGTGTCTGTGTGTGTCTTTATGTTCGCACTTTTTTTCACCCACTTTCAAGTCGAGAGCCAGAAAAGCTAAAAAGCAGAAATTCCGGGAGTATGTGTTCAAATCATGCGCGACCCTTCCCTTTTAATATCATCATCCTCGTATGCCTGAGTCCCACATACGGCCGCCTTAGAAATATGCAAATTTTTTGGCAGGAAGGCGATCTCAGGAATCGGAGAAGATAGAGAGCTGGAACTTTGCAGGGATATTCTATGTGTTTG